CCTGGATTGACAACCGCTGCTGGGGGAGGTCTGTCCGTCTCCTTAGCATCCCCCTCCAATCCAAGCAACCCGCTATCCCAACCTCCCTGGGACCTTTGGGGGACAGCAGAGAAAAGGGAAGGTGGACCCTCTGGAGGACAGCATTCAGCGAAATCTGGCCTAGAAACCGTTGTGTCTAAGCAGAAAACACTAGACGGCTAGCTCCTGGAAGCTCTGCCTTGGCTGTGACTTTCACAGAATGAACTTGAGGAGCTAGAACACTAAAAACCAACTCGGGGTATTAGTACTTCCGTTTTACCCGTGAGCAAACGGAGCTGCCCAAGGTCACACAGCTAGTTAAGCAAGCAATGGGATCCGAAACCCATAACTGTCTGATACTTGGGTCACGCTCTCTTTGCGGAACTGCTTCCGGCTGACAGGGCAGTTGGTTTCTGGTCCTCATTTCCTTCCCTGGACCTCTCTCATTCACCCGCACCCCACAGAGGGGTCCACCACCCCAGCCTCCACCCGTTAGTATCCCTTTTTCAGTGAGAGGAAGGTCCGAGCCGCGCCCTCAACCCAAGGGTGAGGGTGAGGTCAGAGCATTACCCTGCCAGGCGCAGGTACTAAATAATTCATGTGGCTGCTGTGAGGCGGGGGCTGCAGCTTCCGGGAGGGCCCAGGAGGCCCAGCAGACCGGAAACAAAATCTGGTCACTTGAACTTGAGTCTGATCTCTGCAGACCCCATGGAGCTAGAGAAAAGGGCTAGGTTTGGTGAGAACGGGTTGGAGGACATGACCCCAGGCAAGTCACTTCGCCTGTTTGTTTCTTGCTCTCTTATGTGAGGTGTAAACAATTACAGGGAACCAAAACTGCAATGTGCCGGGCACGGCCCTTGGCAGGTTCTCAGGGGAGGTACTGATCATCCCCTGGCCCTGTCTGCCTTCCCAGGAGCTCTTGTATTTCAGTGATGGCCTCCAGCATACCAGGCTGCCGCAGGACTATGAGAGGGGCTGTCCTCCTCTGTCGCCCCATCCCTACATTCCCAGACCTTGTGGGGGTGCGGGCGGGGCCACGCATTTTGGCTGTTTTGGGAGGCTCAGTTTCCTCCCTTAGAATAAATCCCTAGCCAGGAAAAAGTTCGTTGGAATCAAACAGCCTCAATTGGTCTAGAAGGCAAAGAGACTAGGTTACAAATATGTATTAGGAAATCCCAGAAAAAAATCTCAATAAACACACAGGGTTTCTGTGGTTATAATTCCTCACAGAGGATGAGGTCATCTGATTCTGAGCAGTGAGGGTCCAAACTACTCTGCTTCCAGCTGACTGGCTGGTCGGTGTGAAATTTACCAAGGTCTGATGTCACCGGCAACAGGTTCTAGACTCTTCTAGTTTTTTTCCATTCCAGACTCGTTTGTGATGTAGCTGGACCACTTGGGGGAAGGCACCTTTCTCCTAAAAACACACCTATTGTCTCCACTTGGCCAAGGACTGGAGGGAGCAGGGCCACTGGGTGTCCCTAACTAAGCCAGGGTGGCCTGTATCTTTCAGGAGCCCATCTTCCCAAGCCTATGCATGGATCCCTGGAGGACTCAGGCTACGAACAAACCCACATTCGCCGCAGGCTGCTCTTTGGGACTGCCTGGCGGGGCCAGGACTCACAGGAGACTATCACTTTGAAAAGCAAAGACAGTGCCTTTATTCACTGTGAGGGATCTTGGGGCCGCTAACCTAGATCAAGAGAAGCCTGAGGTGCAGAGCTCCCCCTTCCCCTCCATCAGAGGGACGTAATGCTCCATTCATGGAGGTAAGTAACCCAGTACAAGGATCGGTAATGGGGGGGGGG